CCATAAATCCCTCAGTAATTTTAAGAAAGAGCAGTAGATGGTAGTACATTATAAATCAAAATGTACTGTTTGTTCAGAAGTGGGTGTAGTAAAGGAGTAAATTGATAATGATAATGAATAATGATAATGACCATTATATTTTTTGAACTTCTCAGCTTAAGTGAATTATTACTTAACCTTTACATTATTGTTGAACCATTGATAAAAACTACACAATGGTAAGAGCTGAACAGCTGCTTCATTTATCCAATTTCCACCACCATGAAAAAAGTGGGCTGGTCTTGGACTTGAAACTCCTGGGCTGAAAAGTGGCCCCACTCCAGCCCTGTTTATGAGTATCCATGTTGTTGGGTTTTATGGTTAGTGGGTGTTTCTGAGAGCATTCAAATGAGACTGCTAGGTACTAGGTTTTTGACCCACTCCCCTTGCAAAGAAGCAAAGAGAATGATGTAAACATTTATAGTCGAACAGTGAACATATTTGCAGAGTGCAGTAAGACATGGCACAACTTTTAACAGCCCATATGTGGGTGTATTAACAGGGGAGGTGGCTTGTTTATTTCTGAAATGATTGCAGTAAACTCAGCTGGAACTGCTAATCCACAATCACCAAGCACACAATCACAATTCGATATTTCCAATTATCTTCCAGTTACACAACCAAAAACATTTTTTTTAAATGATACAAAGACAACTTGTCATGATCCCAGTGTTGGTACCCTCTCGTGTGGACTTTTAAGTTGAAACGGCATTTACCATTGTTTCTATGTTGACTTCCTGTATTCACTTCCCATTCCCATGTTTTCCCTGTGTCTTGTTTGTTATTGCCACCATTGTTTATTTTCATGACTAATCATCTGCACCATTCCCTAGTCCGCCCCCTCAACCCGGTCTCATCCCAAGACGTCATATAACTGACGTTTTGGGACGTCTTTTGACCATACGTCAATATTCGCCTTTTTAAGGCACCCTTAAACGTCGGCAGATGAGGTTATGGGATCCTAACTCTACCCCAGACCTAAACCTAACCCGTCACCTAACTGACGTTAAAGGTAAAGCGTCAGTTGTATGACGGCCCGGGATCGCCATCTACCGACGTTTCAGGGGGCCCTAAAAAGGCGGATATTGACGTATGGTCAAAAGACGTCCCAAGACGTCAGTTATATGACTTTTTGGGATGAGACTGTGTTGTTATCGCGTGCCTTGTGTTTCTCAGAAGTGTGTTTAACGAACAACGATGTAATTCACTGCTTACTACTATTTTCCTCAAACAGTAGGGCATTGCCGCTTGCAACACCAAGGTCATGGGTTTGATTCCCAGGAAAATAAGAACTGATAAGAACGTAAATGTGTACCTTGAAATGCAATGTAAGTCGCTTGTCTGCCAAATGCATAATGTAAATGTAAACTGCGTAGTACGATGCATTGTTGAAGAAATAAAAAGTAAAAAAAGTAAAAAAGACACACACACACACACAGAGAGAGAGAGAGAGAGAGAGAGAGATAAACTGGAAATGCTGTTTTTCTACAGCAAGATAACAGCAAATTAGAACACATACTCACACAAAGAGAGAGAGAGAGAGAGAGAGAGAGAGAGAGAGAGAGAGAGAGAGAGAGATAAACTGTTTGCATTGTGTTCCCTTTCAAACCAAATGTTATTGTTTGATTGTAATCATAATGCAAAACCTGATACTTATCTAAATATATATCTAAATAATAATAAAAATGTATTTATATAGGAAGCTATAGGTAGCCTCTGGCCATTAAGGCCACATTTGTATATTTTGGCGGGTTTTTTTTTTTGTTGTGTTTTTTTTTGCCTGCAACCTGCACTCTATTTTGATGCAAAATGTTGCATTTATTTTATAAAATTATTTATTTATATATATATATATATATATATATATATATATATATATATATATTCTAATGGACAAAAATAGCTCATAAAAATCATTACAAATTTTAAATAATAATAATAAAATATTATTAAACAAAAATATATTTGATTGGTTTTCCTGGAAAAAAAAATAAAAAAAAATGAAGGCTTCAGTCTTTTTTGACCAGAGAGGGTTTTAATGTAGAGAATTGTTTTCAATGTGAACACAATTCCTCCATATGATAACCCTTTGAAAACCCTTTTTACTCTTGTTCTCCAGAAGAAAAATACTTAAATGAAACAAAATACAGTAGAATTTGAAAGTAGAAAATAACAGTAGGGAAAATAAAATCACAAATAAATCAAATGTTTAGGCTCACATAGCAGGGTCAAAATGAATTAGGATTTCATTAAATCTCTGTTCCAGTTCAATGCTGCATGCATGAGATCCTTCTCCCACAATTGACTTCTGATTAACACAGTTCAGTCAGAAAGGAAGGAAACACGCACAATCGTACCACTCTGTTCATTTCGTTCAAGCTCGGTCCTTATATGGCTTGCCAGTTCCTGGCTGATTGTAGCTGTTCCGATGTGAAACAGGGACGTAACTTACATGCAAAACCTTCTTACGAAATCATCCAGACTCAGGAAATGATGAAAAATAGAAAACAGGAAAAAAGAGAAAAGACACAAAAAGAAAAGGCCAAAATACTGTACAATTACAGTAGACATCCCTTTCAAAAATATACTTACAGCAGTTAATCTGCATACAAACAACATGCAACATTTTTGACTTAATCTAAATGTTCATCTAAACATATAACTTAAGTAGGCTATGTTAAATTTACAAATGTTCAAAGATCATTTTTCAAATAAGCGCTTCATCATCACATATGCGTCATGATAAACCATTAACTCATAGCTCAAATACATGACCAAAACCATTAAAATAAGTTTTGTCAACTCCTCAATTCACTCCAGTCACTTTTCATTTTAGAGTCTGACAGCAACTGACACTACCTTACTGTCTATGGTCACTGCGGGTCTCAGGTGCACGCCCTGCATGCTCATCCCCGCCCTCGGTTCGTCCCCTCTATCTCGGCTGAGGTCTTTCCTTTTTTCAGTATTTTTCAAATATTTCCAGTGGGTGGAGTCAGGCTCTATTGTTACCCTGAACAATTGTTATTCAACACATTTAGTACACTTCTTCCCATTCAATAATATGCTTCTTTTACATACACTTTCGTATAGCCTAACACATCAGCATTTTAATATTTGAACACCATTTATCAAACATTTAGCCAACACACACACACAAAATCTTTTTTGGCTTTTTTTTTTTCTTCCTTACATCAATATGTTATGTTGAGACTTCATCATATGTTGAGACTTCAGTCTGCCTTTTAACTGAATTAAAGACCTCATGTAATTGGTAGCATGTGTCCTCTGACCTAATTTATTTTTAGTGAACAGAGTGTAGCTTGGGTCTAGAATCTGGTCCCATGCACATATAATATGCATGCGAGAGATATATTTTGTGTCCATCTTTAAAAATGTTGTTAAAAAATGTTTAACAGATTTTTTTAAACTTCCACTATCATTCAAGGGAGCATTTTCAGCCTTGTGTAGACATAGGCTGCGTTCCAGTCCACTTTTAGATGCGCACTTGCAAAGTTCTCTAATAACTTCCTAAGCCGATAAGTCAATTTTAATTCACGCAAAAAAACATCATACACAAATGCGTAGACAATTTTACATGCATGAAACCTAAAACAAATACCTAATACCACGTACACACAAAAAAAACAAGTACGTGAAAAACTATAACTATAAATGATATATTCATAAAATATATTTCACAAATGCAAACACAATTCGTAGATATGGCTGCAACTGTGCACAAAAACCTTTGAATGTTTATAATGAGTGTTGAATGTGAATGTACAAATCGCCATTCACTTGTGAATCACCTTGGATTTCACGCACTGTTGCTCACACTGTGTCGCTCGTTCATGCTTTTGTCCAGTCCGGCGCCTCATAAGCCAAGTTTCCATCCACTTGTCAATTGAATTATCTGAAGTTCGGTAAAAAAAAAAACAAATTAAAATAAAGCTGGTGAAAATGTGTTTCCATCCAACAGTTTCAAAGCAAATAAAAACCTGTGCATAATGACATCATATACTGTTTTGCGATCTGGTATATCGAATTGATTTGAGACATTTTAAGGTCTTTACATTCATTTTCGCACTGAATCGCACAACATTCAAGCAAACATTTGCGAACAAAGTTTTGCTAGACAAAATGGATCACGCCATCTACCATCAAATGATCAATATTGCACAAGTTGTAGCCTAATAGTGCTTATGTGCTTGCTGATATCATCATATGTAAGGGATAATGTATAGCGAGGCGGTTGTTAGCCTGAAGGGGTTGTATTCGCTACAACAACCACCTCCCTATACATTATCCCGCTTATTACATAGCTACCAAATAAATCAACAATCTGACACAAAATTGATGCAAACAGAGCGGAAATACTGGGCGGAAATTAACTAAAACTTATTTTATGTTTTGTGGCCCATAAAATGACCTAAAACTTAATCACAATTCATTATTTATTCTTCAAATAAAATTCTATCAGCGTTTATTGCATAAGCCGTATATCGATCAAGATAAAATCCGATGAGATTGAACGGATCTCATTTGAATCGATATTCATGAAATTCAATTGAATTTTACTGTTTCCATATAAGGCATTTTTCATTCAATATCACTTAATTCGGATGAAAATGTGTAAACTAAACTGTGCGGTGCAGGGAACAACTCTGATTGGCTCATGGAGGCACGTGATCAGACAGTGGTGCGCTAGATTGGATTTGCAAAAAATAAAAAATAAAAAAAATAAAAAAAATATGATATGATATGAAATGGAGTGTTCTTAATGGAATGACACATTTCAAAAATCTCTCGATCACGCGAATTGTGATTAAAATTCGATTCATTGTGCAGCCCTAAAATATACTGAATAAGCCCATGCCCCTGAGGAACTCTCTGCAAGTGTCTGGAGTTTATACAAACTTCCTGCCCCTTTAAAGAGCAAGCCAAAGGTGGGGCTCCAAACCACTTCCCCACCAACTCATTTCCAAATAATGTGGGTGAGCACATTACAAAGCAACGGTTGACTGTAAAAAGGATAACAAGAAAGACAAAGAAAACGTTGAAGCTGTTGAAAAGAGAACTGGGAAACGCTTTTGCAAAACGAGGCGAGCATAGCACCGACATCTCTGACAAAACTTCAAGTTCTAGGGTAAGATCATTTTTTACAACATTTGTTCTTGGCTCTTACTTTAAACTGATTTTTTGAGTCGCAGATTACAGTTACAGTGCACGAAATATGTTTGCTCATTTTTTTTTTATATACAGTATATTAGTAAGTATGACAGAAATAAAAAAGTAATCAACCGTTTACTTGCCTACATATTTTACTAAAACAGAAACTTTCAAAACAGAAGCAAATGGTTATTGAATGCCTAATTTCATTTTTTTTTTCTCTTAATAACAAAGCCTTCAAAGGCAATCAGACCAAAAAAATAAATAAATAAATAATAGTAATAAAAATAGCTGGAAGAATAAGACTTCACAATTAAGTGGCCCAGCTCTCACAGACTGTGGTTTGGTTTTCCTGGAAAGGATTATGAAGTCTCAACTTTTTCCATGTGCTTTTAATTTTTTTTTTTTTTTTTCTGACTTAAAATTGCATGCTTGCATATACTTGTTTCTGTTAAATATGTGCATAAGCAATAGCAGAAGGAAAGTAATGATAACTTTTTTAAAAAGAGCATTGTTATTGTTATTATTATTTAATAATCTCTAATACACATTATCCAATGTTGAGAACACTGAAAATATGGATGCTGTTTATTAAAAGAAAGAAGAGAAACATTGTTTTTATCACGTGCATTTCAGGTAACACTTCAGAATAATAGTAATAGCGTTCAGTTGAATGATGAAGTTCACTTTTGACTATAATCAACAATTACTATTTTTCATACCTTCCAGAGCCAGAGGACTACTAATAGTTTCTAATTAATATTGAATAATGCACAATGAATAATTGATTCTAAAGTAAAGATCATGATAACCTGCTAGTTATGACTCAAGTATTACCAAATCATTCAGAAAGAATTAGGCCTACTATTTGGAACAGTGTTCTAAATTGAAAAGCATTCATAGGAAGCTTTTGGGGTTTTTATAAGATTTTGGATCTGACTCATATGTTAATACATCCTTACCACTTTCTTCTTTGAACTTGTCTTTTTCAAAAATACCTGTAATGTAAGCCCAGTTAAATAGTTCACTACAAATAAATTACTAAATGCTGAAAATGATTAAATGTAAATAAACAAAAACATGCACTGCATTTACAATCCGTGCAAACAACTTCCCGCGCCCCTGGTAATGTGGAAGACATAGGGCCCTATCATACACCAGGCACAATGTGTTTTCTGCTAGTTTCAGCTTGACACAGTTATCATTTTCATGTCCTGTGCCACGCTGCTGCTTTAAATAGCAAATGCATTTAAGCTCATTTGTGCGCAAACGGGCTGCTGGTCTGAAAACGAGGTGTGCCCGGGCACATTGTTGGCACATTGCTATTTTGAGGTAGCTGAAAAATTGCACCATTGACCAACTGAAAAGGTCAATAGTGCAACAATTTTTGTTATTTATAGAGGACGTTAGTAACATGTGCCTATGGCGGGTCCACAATGCACGTACACTGCTTATTACACACACAGGGTAGCACAGTATCACACAAAGGTTTACAATGTAAAAGATTATTATTGTGTACATAAAGATATGGTGGAATCTGGCTTGTTCCGTAGATGGTCTGCTTGCATGCTTTAACATTGCGCTCATTTCCTTTCCAGTCTTTCACTTGCACATTCTGTCATGCAAATAGCGAAGTGCAACTGGCATTTAAAGGGAAGGGGATGAGACTCTGATTGGTTTATGGCATGTAAAGCCCAAAACACACCCATTATTCATTAAGGGAATTGGGACTACCCTTTTAGACCATGCGCCGGACATGCCGACATTTTTTCCTGTCGTTAAGCAAAAGGGGATTCGGACCTTAGTGGACTTGCGCTTTAGACCATGCGCTAGATCGTTAAAATAGGATCATGTCTTGTTGCTATTCTAAGACATGGTAATATAATAGTTTAAACAATTTGAGACCCATAGCTTTGATTTCAAATGACATGAAATGTTTTGAAAGGATTATCCTTGGTCATTTGTGTAGATATTGGTCAGTTTTTCAAGATCCTTTACAATTTGCAAATAGAAAAGGTATAGAGTGATGCCATACTTTTTTATGGTACACAATGTTTGTAGTCTGCCATCTCTTTTAGGATTATATCAACGCATTGTCATCCTAGGGCGTCATCTGACTGACACTTTTGACCAGGCATCTAAATCCGACACACATGGCAACCTTTAGCGTCAGTTAGATGACGGGGGTAGGTTTAGGTCTGGGGTAGGGTTAGGGTTAGACCACTAGGAGGTGCGTCTCATATTGACGCTAAAGGGTGCCATGTTCGTCGGATGTTGACGCATGGTCAAAAGCGTCAGTTAGATGACGCATTGGGATGAGAACAGGCTGATATATATATATATATATATATATATATATATATATATATTTATTTATTTATTTATTTTTTTGTCTAGTGGTTTTAATACAATACAACCACATGTTTTGGCTGATGTATTGTTGTATTTTTATTTTTATAAACATATCTTTATTACGATGATTAGCCCTTTGAGATGAAGCATCTCCTTTTCGAGGGGGTCCTCCAATACATCAGAGCAGAGCATATACCTAGATAACTATGTGGGTATTATTGGCTTATCTTCTATGTTGACTTCAGTTAGGCTTGGTAATAAAATGTCTTGATATTATATTGCCCAAAAAGGGATCCCCACAAGGCACCGTTTTATTACCTTTTCTCCTTGCATGGCATACCTCGTACTATAGCTAACTCAGACATCTTGTTGTCTACAAAAGTTTTCAGATGATACTGCCCTTGTGGGTTTAATAAATCAAAGTTATGATGTGAACTTGAAGAGAGGTTGAGTTATTTGTTACATGGTGTGATAAAAATGTCCTAAAATTGAATGTGAAGAGGAGAAGAAGACCAAGGGGTTGATCCTTGATTTTAGAATAAATAAAGAAGAGATACTGCCTACCAGTGACAATTAAAGTTGGTAACACTTTAGAATACGGTTCCTTCGTTAATGAATAACTACACGAGAGCTAATGAGTAACACAATATTAACAATCTAGTAACTATTATTAACTAACAAGAAACTCTGATTAACGAACTAGTAAGTAATAGCACACAGACGAAAGTGGTAGTTCACTATTAAGTAATCAATAACTACTATTTTTTTAATACTTCCCAGAGAACTACTGAAAAAGTTTATTAACAATCTAGTAACTACTATTAACTAAAAGAAACTCTTATTAACGAATTAGTAAGTAATAGCTCACAGATGAAAGTGTTACTTGACACTTCTGTGGGAATTACTAATTATTTGGATTCGTATTATAAAGTGAAGATCATTGGAACTAACTAGTAATTACTCAAGTGTTACTAAAGACATTTTCTAAAAGTATACTAAAGTTCACCAAAAATCTCAAACGTTTGCACAAATCATGACTAGATCATGTAGTAACACTTGAGTAATTACTAGTTAGTTCCAATAATCTTTACTTTATAATACGGATCCAAATAATTAGTAATTCCCACAGAAGTATCTAGTAACACTTTCATCTGTGAGCTATTACTTACTAATTATTTGGATCCGTATTATAAAGTAAAGATTATTGGAACTAACTAGTAATTACTCAAGTGTTACTACATGATCTAGTCATGATTTGTGCAAATGTTTGAGATTTTTTTTAGAAAATGTCTTTAGTAACACTTGAGTAATTACTAGTTAGTTCCAATGATCTTCACTTTATAATACGAATCCAAATAATTAGTAACTCCCACAGAAGTATCTAGTAACACTTTCATCTGTGAGCTATTACTTACTAATTCGTTAATTTATTTTAGTTAATAATAGTTACTAGATTGTTAATAAACTTTTTCAGTAGTTCTCTGGGAAGTATTAAAAAAATAGTAGTTATTGATTACTTAATAGTGAACTACCACTTTCGTCTGTGCGCTATTACTTACTAGTTCGTTAATCAGAGTTTCTTGTTAGTTAGTAATAGTTACTAGATTGTTAATATTGTGTTACTCATTAGTTCTTGTGTAGTTATTCATTAACGAAGGAACCGTATTCTAAAGTGTTACCTTAAAGGTCACTGCAGATTACAAATATAGGATTAATAAATTGATTACAAAAGCTGTTATTGGCCTTATCCTGATTCACTTGAATTTCTGTCTTATGAAGGTCATCCAATACACAATATTTGTTGTGGACTTAAAAGTTAATTTAGTGGAAGATTAGTGATGCCTCAGTGTGTTTTGAAGGTATTTTATTCCTACTGTATTGTTTCTACTTCTTAGTTAATTGTAGTTAATCGTAAATATTTGAGTAAAGCATAAATGTGGCTGATATCTAAGCATTGTATGCCTATTACAGATCCGAAAGCTATGTGGGTGGACCACAGGAAGGTTTCCCAAGAGAATCTGTCACACAAATAACCAACTGTCCACATTTTTTCTGTGTCAACATTTGCTATATGACAGATTTAGGGGGCTTTTATTCTGGGCTTTTAACCTGCGGTCTGAGTCCGATTGTTCCAATGACAGTGTTTACGTTAGCGATTTTTCATGCAAACCATGCCTCGTTCCGAACTAAAACTGCCAGTGTGAAAGCCCCCTTAGGCTCTTTGTATGGCTTTGAGTTTACGTGGTAATAGTAAAAATACTAAACAAATGACCAGTATTTGACAATGCTTTGTAGTTCTTAGTTCTAATGTTATATGTTTTGCTTTCCTTTTAGGAGTCGATGGACGTGGTGTGGTACATGATTTTTGGCATGTGTGCCATGAATGCTGTTGCCTCTGCATGTCCAGAGAATTGCCAGTGTAGGCCGAACAAAATCCTTTGTCAAGGCTTTTTAATGAACAAATTTCCAACCCCCATCCCACCAACCACCATTACCCTCTTAATCACCAACACCAGCATACAATCATTAAAACCAGCTGATTTTGTGACTTTCGCTGAGAACCTTAATTATTTTTCAGCCAAGGATTCAACAATAGCTGAGGTGGAACCTCATACATTTGACCAAACCCACAATCTCATTGGCTTAGGTTTGAGTGGGACAATGCTAACCTCTCTGCCAAAAGATCTATTTCAGAATCTAAACACATTATCAACTTTAACGCTCAGTAACAACAAAATTGATCTTCTGCAACCATCTCTTCTCAGCCCTCTTGTAAATTTGAAGAAAATAGACCTAAGCAAAAACCTTCTAACTTATCTGCCAGACGATGCTTTTCAGGGGAAAAAAAAGCTGGAACAGCTCATGTTGCAAAAGAACTCAATCAGAAAGCTTCCCAGCAGTACATTTCGGGGACTCAATAATCTCAGAGAACTGTTGCTCCAGCAAAATCAGTTAACAGAAATACCATCAGGCATCTTTGATGATTTGGTAAACCTTGAGATATTGCATCTTCAAGACAACAAAATCACACAGCTACCTGAAAATATTTTTTCAAACGTGCAGAAGCTGAAGAAACTCTACCTCTCCAACAATAAGTTATCATTGCTTCCCAGTGCAATATTTTTTAACCTACCTAACCTTACTCATCTATCACTGTTCGAGAACCAACTCAGTCGGTTAATGCCTGGAACTTTTGGTCCAATGGCCATCCTGGAGCTCTGGCTATACGACAACATGATAACTCACCTTGAGGAAAATGTGTTCAGCAACTTAACTGAGATTCGGCTTTTGGTGCTCAGTAGGAACCGGATTCAGCACATCTCTTCTGGCGCTTTCAATGGCTTGATGGAACTAGAGGAGATCTCTCTTCACACTAATCGATTAATCGGTATTGAGGCGGGGATATTCAAAGGCCTTCCCAAGTTAGCTAACATATCTTTGGAGAATAATCAAATACAGCACATACCCATAAAACTCTTGGAGAATGTGTCTCACTTAAATCTCCTGGAGCTTCAAAACAATTCTCTACGAAACTTACCGAAGGAACTTCTAAACTCATTGTCTGTAGTTGATAATATTGTACTTTTTCAAAATCCTTGGAGGTGTGACAATGATATACTCCCTTTTCGGGATTGGCTTGGACAGAATTCAGAGAAAGTGAAAAACCTTACTTTTGTGACTTGTGATACTCCTCTATCCCTGAATGGTAGAAATGTTGGAGAGCTGAAAGAGTATGACATCATGGTCAACCATTCACTGCACACTTTCCCAACCCAACCTTTCACCTCTGCACCAGCTTCAGACCCCACAACAGTCTCCGAAGAAATAGAGGACACAAGTGGAGGTAATTCTATGGGTCAAGGTCTATCCAAAGACAAAATCATTATCATTGTAGCCATCGTCTGCACTGCTGTCATGGTCAGTCTCATTGCCTGTGTGTTATGGAGGAGGAACAAGCGAGGCAGTCAAGACTTGAACCATCAAAGAAAAACCAACTCGGTTATCTAACATTATTATATAAAAGCTTCCAGCTGATTGTTGTGTTTCAAATTACTATTTCTTCAGTGGATTTACGGAGGACAAATGTTTTCTATTAATAGGCATGTGTTGCCTATTAAAAAAATGTGTTGTTTTGTTTCTTTCTTGACATACTAAAACATTTTTTTATTACAATTAAAAAAACTACAACGTTTACTACTTTTATATATATATATATATATATATATATATATATGATAACCCTCATGAGTGATGTCACACATGAAGAACTGTACTGTATTTCAATTCTTGCCACTGTCCTGGTTAAACTTTCTGCAATTCTGTTTTTTTTTTTTTTTTTTTTTTTTTCTCATAGTAAAAAAAATGATATTTCAGAGTTGTAAATAAAACAAAGATTGTTGGAGCACATTTCTACAATAAAATACTATTTCAGTCTTTATTTCAACGTGTTACTTGCCATTTCTTTGTGATTGATTGTTTACAAGCAATTTATGAGTGAAACTAAACACATGACTACATATGTTTTGCCAATATTATTTTACATGCTATGTATATGATGTAGCCATTAACAATTTGAAATTATGAGACCAACAATTAGTTTATTTAAAATGTTTTCCTTATGTTCCCATCTAAGTAATTCTACTGCTATTAGGGGACTGTTATCTATATTTCAACTTTGCAGACACATATTCATGCTTAAATATACGTAAATAAGAAAATAAACAGTCTAAAAATGCCCACAAAAAGAAAAAGAAAAGAAATAAGATTTTTAAAAACGACAACAGAAGAGAATTAAATAAACGTAGAAATGTTTAAATAATTGTATTTTGAGAAATATCTTTTGAAAGTGAGTTGGATGGTTTTCCTTTCTTATCTCTTCAAACAGAAAACGAACTGTCCACACCCTTTCTGCTGCCTTATAGTCATGCTGTAAACACTTGTGATGTGTAGATAAGAGTAGAGCAGCACATATATTTTTATTTGCTTCTGGGAACACATTCTGAAAAGTAATTCAGCTACAACCGTGATGAGCAGGTTAGTGTAATTATTTTCCATTTAATGAGACACATACAGGTCAGGGATATAACAGAAAAAAATAAAATAGTAGTCTGAAAAAATAAAATGTCTCCTCTCCTTCACAATACTGAAAACTGGCACACTATTTTGAAAGAGGGGAAACATTTTATTTTTTTCAGACTATAATTTTATTTGTATGCATTATTTATAAATAAAACAAATTATAAAAATAATTTTGATTTGGTGTAAATTCAGTGACTTGTACCAGGCACGCAACGCAGTAAGAGATTTATTTATGTATTTATTTGTTAATTTATAATTATTTATTTATTTATTTCAAATGGAAGGTTCTCTCAAAAATTGTCATTATTTACTCAACCTCAGGTCGTTCTAAACGCATGAGGTTATTTCTTATGTTGAACACTAAGGAAGATATTATGATGGCATTTGGCATCCAAACATTACCCACTTTCTTCCAAATGTATATTTTGTTTGTGTTCCACACAATCAATCAATCAATCAATCAATCAATCAATCAATACAGCATTGGTACAACTAGAAATAATAAGTAAATAATCACAGAATTTGAACAACCTTACCAAGCAACTAAACTGAAGTGTTGCAATGGAATTTGTACTTGTCTTCTGTGAACAGTAAGCCCTGCCTTCTTTGAAAATTCTTAAAAATTCAATTTTTAACACTTTTGTCACCCTAACAACAGAGTGGTACAAAGTGCAGCAGAGCAACATTAATAACCAAATCAGATCAAAAGAATCAAATGCTGGGTGACACACTGTGGCTGTTTCTAATTATCAAGGAGGACTTGTCTCCCTCAGTGTCGTCTATGGTTACAGTCCTGTGTCCCTGAGTCATTGGAACCAACACATTCTCATCCAAAGACGTCATCTAACTGACGTTTTTGACCATACGTCAACATCCGACGTTTTAGGGTACCCGTTAACGTCAGTTAGATGACGCTATCCTAGGGCGTCATCTAACTGATGCTTTACCTTTAGTGTCAGTTAGATGACGTGGGTAGGTTTAGGTCTGGGGTTGGGTTAGGATTAGATCGCGTCATCTAACTGACGTTAAAGGGTACCCTAAAACGTCGGATGTTGACGTACAGTATGGTCAAAAGCGCAAGTTCGACGACGTCTTGGGATGAGAATGGGCTCTTGGAACATCATTTGTCTTCATTCAGGCTATACAGGTTGCTTTGTATGGATTTGAACCAAAAACTAAAATTTCTGTTAATGTTTTGTTCTTCAACAGGCATATCCATTTAAAAAGTGCACTAGTATTCATTTACATACTTGTGCACTTGCACTGGAGCTGCACTGAAGATATATGTCTACCAAATGAAGACTGCAAAAATAAAGACGTGTATGATGAAACTGTGACGACAATACCCGAAAAATTTAAAGATGGAGCCAATGAAATATTTTTTGTAAACAGTCAGATTCCTGTCATACCGAAAGGAGCTCTTTCTAAAAACCCTCAAATAAATAAAATTGAATTCCTCGGTACTTCAACTACGTCCATAGAGGTCGGAGCTTTTGAGGGCTTGCCTAATATCACAACCATTGAGATATCTGGCACAAATGTGACATCATTACCCGTGGGTGTTTTTAAGGATCTCGAAAACCTTAAAACACTTGTTCTAAAAAATAACAGAATCCATAGCCTTAAAAATGGGTTATTTGATTATTTAAAAAAGCTTCAAGAACTAAGTCTACATATAAATGAAATTAGCTCTATTGAGGAGGGGACATTTGACAGTTTAGATGATCTCAGACTTCTTCATCTTGCAAGAAACAACCTTGGGTCTGTATCAACATCTCTTTTTTCCAAACTGAAGAACTTGCGATTTTTCAGGCTTTATGAGAACCAGCTGACCTCTATGCCTGATGGGATTTTTGATCATCTCCCTGATCTGACAGAGATAGCCTTGCAAGGCAACAAAATCTCATCTATAAAATCTGATTTGTTTCCACACAAAAGTAAATTATCCAAACTTTTTTTGGACCACAATCTTTTGACTGAACTGCAGCAAGATCTTTTTGTTGGTTTCTCTTCATTAAAGACTCTAACTCTTCATAACAATCAACTCCTACGTCTTCCCACTGTCCTTTTTGGAGAAATGCCTAAAATGACTGAACTGAGTCTAAGCCATAACAATCTCACTGATTTACCACCTGGAGTTTTCAGCCCACTTAAGAAGCTCAAGAAGTTAGACCTTTCATCAAACCAGTTTTCAAGGATATCTGGAGGGTTTTTTGAAGGTCTCGAGAAACTGACTGAACTGAATCTTCAAAATAACAATTTAAGGTCATTACAACAAAAGGACTTGGAAAGACTTCAGTCTCTTTCAACACTTAAACTGGGAAATAATAAACTGCAAAGCCTCCCTGGAGATGTTTTGGATGCTCTTCCAAAACTCAGTAAACTATACCTTTACAAGAACCCATGGCATTGTGACTGTAACCTTTTGCCATTCTTTGAATGGATAAAGAACAATGAAGACAAGATTAAATCAAAACCTTCTGATGTCTGTGAGTCCCCAAAAGACCTGGAAAATCAACAAATATCCTCTTTAACAGAACAGCAATTAATATGCCTCACAACTTTACCAACTACCACCACTGTCCTTACAAGTACTGTTCCCATGACCACACAGCACACCACAGGTGTCTCAACAATAAAGTTAACCTCGACAACAGCAGTGCCTACAACAACTACTGCTTTACAAACAACAACCGCACCTACGCCAACAACAGTTCCAGTAACAACTCAAACAACTACAACAACCCAGACAACAACACAAGTCATGACCACACCAACACCAACTACTCAAATCACAACTTTGCTTCCAACCACACCAACCACAACCTCTATGACTACAGCTCTGAGGACAACATCAGTCCCCACCACGGTATCAACAACTACTCTTCAATCAACAACTGTCCCCTTGACAACTACATCAGTTCTCACCACCACATCTATAACCACAGTACCACCAACAACTGCCCATATGACAACTACACCAGAGCACGCCACCACATTTATAACCACAGTACCACCAACAACTGCCCATATGACAACTACACCAGAGCACGCCACCACATTTATAACCACAGTACCACCAACAACTGCCCATATGACAACTACACCAGAACACGCCACCACATTTATAACCACAGTACCACCAACAACTGCCCATATGACAACTACACCAGAACACGCCACCACATTTATAACCACAGTACCACCAACAACTGCCCATATGACAACTACACCAGAGCTCGCTACCACATTTATAACCACAGTACCACCAACAACTGCACTTATGACTACATTGATTCCCACCACATCAACATTGACAGTTCAAACAACAATTGCGACAATTTCAGAAACTACAACTATATTAATCCCCACCACTATTACAAGTCAAAAAACAACAGCCACCAGTTTACCACCCAGCACGACTACAAGGACAACAGAAACATTTCTCACCACACATAGCAGTTTCATCTGTACTGGCTCTCCTCAGCCTACTCTTTCAAGACCTACTCCCACCCACAAGTACTCATCATGTGAAGACCTGATGATATATTACACTACAATGCTGATTGTGGAAATCTGCTGTACTGTGGTGCTGGCCAAATTCTCTTATTCACTATATTGTTCTCTGGAGCAAAGGGAGAGACTGCACACCCAGGTCAACCTGACTCACTTCTCCTATACTAAGTCCATTATACTCAGACCAGTCGACGAGACAGAGACTATTGCTCTGTGATTTTTGTTTTTCTTTCACTTGAACTTTGAATGAGTTTCCAAACAGCATCTATGATTGAAGCTAAAGACATCATTTCTTTGTTGCCTTTATTTTATAACCATATGCAGTAGCGTCCACAAGCCTGGATTCAATGATTTTGAGCATAACAATTTAGGTGAAGAGTTTACATTTCAAAATTATTTTTCTTATATTATTTGGGATGCCACCCTTTGACAGCAGTAATCAAACTGCATGAACTTCACAAGTTAAGGTAGCTTAAAAACAAAATAAGAGGAGGTACAAAATAGGCCTGATTAGATGAATGTAAACTTACAGTAATTGCATGAAATACTAATATTTGTCTAGATGTATAGCCTACTTATGAACTGAACTTGGTCATTTTAGGCATTTAGTAAATTTCGTATTTGTAGGAATTGTATATATTTTTTTTTTTATATTGAACTACGTTTTTTATGTGTACTAAATGTAACTGTTAATATGTTATGGTGTCTTGTGTCCATTATTGCATTTCATTAGACCTAGCTATAACCAATTATCTTTGACAAAATGACAACCCACAATGCCTTAAAAATGAATATATTAGTATCAAATAGCTAGGCCATGTGTGATGAGCGCACAATATTTTTACTCTTTTAAATCCGTTTTAAACTGTATCTTAAATCTCTTTTAATTTCATTTATAACTGATTTAACTTTCATTGCTTTTATATTGTGATTTTTTAAATTCCTTTCTGTAAAGCACTTTGATTTGCCATTGTGTAAAATATGTGCTATATAAATAAACTTGACTTGTCTTACAAGCTTTCATTTTTGCAATACATGTTATGTGTTAAAGTCCCTGTAAATGCCTGTAAATTCCACAAAAAAAATTCTAAACACATTATAAATGTTACAAATGTATAGCTAAAACATGTTACAAAGATTGTGAACTGTGAAGTACTGAAATGTTAGACCGGTAAACAGTTTTTAACCATTGCTATTTTCCAGATTTTTTGGGCAGGGCTAAAACAGGGCTCGATGACGCACTGTGGACACGCCCGTACATGATGACGCACTGGAGCCACTGAGGCTGCCTAATTTGTGTTTCGGAAAATGGAATGACATGAGTTAGAAGTTAGAATTATTAACAATAAGAATTATTATTTTTATTTTATTTTTGTGAACTAAGTGTCCAAACTTTTAACTTGTAGTGGACATATTTTACAATGGAGCACAAACGTACTACAAAAGTGTGACTTGATTTAGTACACACCATTTGAACTGCAGCAAGATGGCAGACTGAGCAGTCGTAAAAGCAGGTTCCGGGTCCGACAGAAAAGGTGATTTTTGACATCCAAAGCAGTTAATTTTGAACAGCATGTCACATGTAGGCATCACCCTTAAGGCACTTCTTGTGGTGGATGAAACTTCAGTAGGCAGAATACCAACGCAAACTTTTTCAATAGGTCACAACCAGACTCCATTACTGCCCATATAACGACACATCCATTTCCAAATGTGTTTTTAGTGATCTGAACCATTATTTACACAATTTTCATACAATTTATGAAGTAGTGATCCTATTCAGATTTTAATATGAATTCAGCCTCTAAGAAACACATACAAAGAAAATGAATGGATGCTATCTTTTGAACTCCCTTTCAAGGGAACTCGAGCTGCGTCAAACGCTGTGGGAAAGCCCCTGTGTGAGTATGTCATGAAGCACGTATGGAATATGCACGCATAAGTTCCGCATTTGACGTAAGGATGCTCGTCCATTTCCGGTTGTGTAGATTAAAGCGGAGGAAAACCGGAGAAAACGGGATTATGGCAGAGTCTTCAATATTTACTGTCCTCCCGTCTTTGAAAAGAAACGTACATACGTTTAGATGTCATTTTATGTATAGTTATGTTTATTTAATATAATTTAAAAAGAAGCATAAACACAACAAGTGGTGTCTGTTTTATCTGTTTTTGTGACTAACGTTTCATTAGTATAACCATGGAGTATAAAATTCAATATAAATTCTCGGTATTGCATTGGACTCTATACGATCGGCGGAAGTTATCGAGCATCCCTAATGCTTCACCGGAAATAACGCCGTGCATAGAGCCCATAGCTGTCAGGATATGTCAAGTTGTGTGTGCAAACATATGGCCTGTGGTTTGGGCATGTGTTTGCGTTGTCTTGTGTAATTTACTACGCCCCCTTGTTCCCCTCGTTAGTCTTGATTGTACATCTGTGTCACCTGTGCCCTTGAAATGATGTCCCTTATTTAAGGTCCTTGTGTTTGTTACTCTGTGCTTGTTCGTTTTGTATCCTTTAATCCTGTCCTATGAGCTGTTTATTCCTATGATCAGAGTTTGTATCCTGCTTGTTGGTTCTAGTCTCATGTTATTGTCAAGTTTATTAGTCTAGTCTTTCAACATTTCTTTGCCCCCTCGTGGGTCTTTGTTTTCTGTCTGTTTAATAAATACGTTTTATTTATTACTGTCTGCGCTTGGGTTCGTATTTGCATAACGTGACAATGGCGAGCAAGCAGCTGTATAGAAAGTGTGTTCCCCCCCATAGACTGTAAAAAATATGGACAAAGCATCTGTGACGTCACCCATAGACTCTCTGAAGACAGCCCATTCTCACCCCCAAGGCGTCACTTAACTGACGCCTTGGGAAGCATTTGAACATGCTTCAATATCTGACGCTTTAGGCACCCTTTAGCGTCAGTGAGATGACGCCATAGGATCGCGTGTAACCTACCCCCACCCCACACCTAAACCTAACCGCGTCCTCTAACAGACGCTTTCCTTTAGCGTCAGTTAGATGACGCCGTAGGATCGCGTCATGTAAGTGACGCTAAAGGGCGCCTAAAACGTCAAATATTGAAGCATGGTCAAAGGTGACGCCTTGGGGTGAGAATGCGTTGCTGAAGAATGGGTTTGAGGATGTTTATGGGGGGTATGGGCAGCGCCATACTGGAAAATCTTGGGAAATACAAAATACAAAAGTTTCAGAAAGGATACAGAGGAGGTATGATGTGTTGTGTCAGATCATGGCCGAAGACGTCAAATTCACTCGGCGCAGCCGGTTATCAGCTGTCAATCAAAGTTAACCGCCCTTATTTGTCATCCATTTTATATCTAAATATGATCTAAACTAACGAGTTAGAAAAAAATTCGCCCCCCTCAAAGTTGTCAGGCACGCGGAACATATTGAAGATTACAATAAAAGTCCATGGGACCAAACTGTAAACATATGAATTTATGCTGTGAAAACGGATATTTTAACATGACGTCTATGGATATTTGCTCCCTTTTGGGACCGGCCTCTAGCGGATTTGAGATGTATTGCAGTTTTTCGCACTTCCGGGTAGGCTTCATTTTTCAGATTGGAATGTTGCCGCTTGGTTCCCCCTTGTACTCGTCATCTCATGGGTGGGGATACATACGATCTATGTGTTGTTTGTTTAGGAGTTCAGCATGCCCAGTCAGCTCTCGAGGGAGCTGATTGCGAGCATTGCAAGCGTTTTCCTATAAAAACTCTCTGCTCCCACCCATCACTCCTCTCTTTTATCTGGCGTAATAAAACGCACTACATCAAAAAAATAAAAATCACAACTTATAAAGGACTATAATAAAGAGGGGTTAAACAAAATTGATTTTAAATCTATGGTTGGAGTTTTTAGAGTTAACTGGGTAAAAGCTATGTATCATATTCCCAAAAAAAAAATTTTGATAAAGTGGGAGGCTTAGAGGTCCTTTTACAGTGCGATCAATTTCGAGGTATCCAAATTGCCAGTAAAACTGTCTGAATATCATAAAAAAGTTCTTCAGTACTGGAAGATGGTATTATTTACTCCACCTTGTGAAACAACAAAGTGATAAAAATAAATAGAAAAACTTTTTTTTTTTCCAGAAATTGGTTTGAAAATAGAATAGTTTTTTATAACAGATATATTAGATGAACAAGGTCATTTCTTAGGTTTATGGATTTTAAAACAAAATTTAATATACAAAGTTTAATAAGGGAATATAACAAGGTATGTAAAGCAATACCATCCAAAACTTTTTACATTATTCTAAAAGTCAAATAAATTTGCCTAAACTGCAACTAAACCAAATTTCCCTAAATAGTACAACAATTGTATTAGCAAAATATTCAAATGTAGACTATTTCATAATTTTGACCAAAATATAAAAATAAAATATTATGACAAAATAATAAATAAATATAGGCATTTACCTCCTAAAATCATGAAATAGCCTTTACCTCCTAAAATCAAAGAAATGCAATTCTAAATTATTAATGGATATTATCCAGCAGCAGCAATCCTTGAGATTTGGTTTTAAAGTGGAGCCATGTGTGTTCTGCTACCATGGGAAGATTAAACTATTGAACATTTGTTTGTCTAGTGATAAAAAAAGATTATGGCAAGATGTCATGAATTGACTGGAAATAATAATAATAATAATAATTATAATAATAATAATGGAGAGAATTATACAGTTTAAGTTAGAGCAAATAATTTTTGGTAATGAAAACCGTCCGAATGAACTTTTTATAATTTACATATCATAACAATCGTTATACTCATATTCAAGAGTGGGCGGATTTAGGGCTGGCATCCAGGCTAGGTAAATACCATATTCATAAATGTAAATGGGAACACAAAACTCCATCCCTAATGGTATTTAAAATTGAACTGAGGGAATACTTTGCTTTTTTGAATCTTCTGAAAGACTCCAGTGATAACATTAGCTCTCTGTGTGAAGATGTTTCAACATATTTGTCATAATTTGTAAAGCTTCCATCTAACTTTATTTTAAGAATAAATGAAGACTGAAGAAAATATATGTATGTGAAAAACTTTGACATGCCTTATGGAAGTGCCTTTGCTTAATTTATTTTATTTTATTTTTATTTTTATTTACTTTATTTATCGAAATTTGTTCTATTTAACTGTGTTTAACTATGTTCTGTACACGAGTCTCACAGAGAGATTTTGTAAATTGTGTTTTGAAAATAAGTGTGTTTAATAATAATAAAAAAATTTAAAAAGTTTTCAGGCAGGACGTGAAAGGCTCTTATTTAAAACAGAAGTCAGTGCTTTAAATTGTCAACCACTAGGGGTCAGTGTTGCCACATTTATTCCGCTTTGCTCTAGTTGGGATCATGTGTGGCCTCGTTAAACAGATTCACAATCAATCCAACAAAACAATCCTGGTTTAACAAAATAGTGTCTTATTTTTATTTTCATTTTTAAATGGAAAAAGTCCTCTGTGTAAAGACAAAACGTTAATATGAACATTAGAACATAAGTGAAATATTTGTGCCATATTCCCATAATGAGTTTTATAAACGCACCACTAGATGGCGATGTCATAAATGCTCGCCAGTTATCAGGCTCATCAATAGGCTACAACTGTCATTAATCCAAATATTTTAAGCTAAAATGTAGCCTACTCAAATTTCAGACAACGATGTGGTAAATAGAGTTATGAAAACAAGTCATTTCCCATCGTTGTTTACAAAGCAAACAGACAGCTCAACCATTAGTTTCTTCCTGCATGACTGATTGCACGAAATGGATGTAAGAAGGGTGAGTAGTTTTTTTTTTTTTCCATAGCCTACAATTATTTAAAAAAAAAGAAAAAAAAATGTGTCTAAAGGTTTTAGGTATCATATATGTGTCATATGTTCAGCCAGTGAAACAACTGGTATTGATTTCATAACAACTTCGTTGAAGTAATATAAAAAATATTGGAAATATAAAAATAGAAATCGAATATTGTTTGCCCAAGGAATT